GTAATACAGTTGCTTCAAGTTTTACTATATTGGTATTAGTATGACATTACCATGACATATATGTAAGTGTAATCTTTTTAAGTAGTTCTTTTATTATTATTTAAAATACAGAGAGGGAATTAGGGAGAGGAAGAAAAAATGTCAACTTTTTCATTTCTCAAATTCTCTCAACAGCTAGGGGTAGGCCAGGATGAAGGCAAGAACCAGGAACTCTGATCAGATTTTCCACCGGCCTGGAAGGAAGCCAACTACTTGAGCTATTGCCTGCTGTCTCCTAGGATGCAATTAGCAGGAAGCAAGGATGGAAACAGGAGACAGAACTTGAACTCAGGCACTCTGACATAGGATGCTGGTGTCACAGTCAGGATTTTGATGTCAACTGCTACAGAAAACACCTGTTCTGCACACACTTTTAAATAATAATCTCAAAATGCTGATCTTGATGAGTCTTTCATAATTAGAGATAACTATCAGTCACTTTTCATAAATATGTGTGATAACAAAGGCAACAACAAAAATAAATATTGGCACCAGAACGATAGAAGGCTTCACTTTCAACTAAAGGTTAATAAGGTTCTTAACTTAATTGGTGGAGAATGCTATGTGAAAATAAATCTTTATAATCTGTTTTCATGTAAGATTATAGTTCTCCTCAGATTACTCATGCCCAGCTAGGTTTTATTTAAATTCAACTTGTTCCTCACAGAAAACAAGTGCTGTTCCAGTTCTTGCTGGAAACTTTAGGTAAGAAATTTGAAAACTTCATGATAATTACTATGTAACATATATTTGGATTTATTGTGTATTTTTTTCTTAAAAAATACCATTGCTTACAAGTTTTGTGCTCACTTTTATTATTTTTTTCCATTGTTACCCTTGAAAACTTTTATGCTCTGTTACAAAAATGACAGATTTTTCAGCCCAGATTTTACATTTCAGGATAACTTTATAGCTATAGTAGGAACTGCGCTGGAGCAGCAAATTCAGAGTATTGCCTAATTTGTGGGCTTATTGGACTCTGTGTGGATTCATTTCTTCCTTCTAGTTTCTACCACTAGGGACTTAGTCTGATCTTTTATTAGATGACACTTAAAATGACCGGTTAGCGGCTTTGCTTTCTATATGACAAAGATGAACACGGTTCTCACGAGTAACTGCTGTGGTCTAGGAGACAACATGGTGTAAGAGGATCCCTGACGCTACTATTTGGTGGCACTTTAAATTATTGACAATATGTGATAAATACTTAAATGCCTACATATTTAAAATTTATACATTTAAGTGCAGATTGAACACATCATATGCACTGTCAAATTTATCAAAAGAAGTGGAAAATGCATTTTTCTGGAGAACATTTTGCTGTAAAAGCAATAACTAACTTTAGTGATATGAAATTCTTACTCCCTTATCAAAATGCATAACTTATTATCAGCATTTATGTTGAAAACAACTGAATAGGCCAGTTTCTCCTGAAAAGCAGGCATTTTCTCTGACATTATGAGATTTCACAGTATATTAAACATAACTTGAGTTAAAATATCCTTCATAAATTTTCTGAAAAGAGAATTTTTACCTTTTCCATGATCCCAGGATCACAGTAATTGAAATTCCAAGTTCAGAACTCGCCTTTGGCAATTGTTTTATACCTATTTTGAAACTATCTTGTAAATACAATCTTCTCATTTAATTCTCTATTAAATTCAAAAACAAAAGTGCAAAGTGTCACTTTTAAAATTTTCAAAGCATTTCTCAATACTGTTCATATTTCTGAGAAGTTTTTAGAAGGTGTGACTTCATTTGTGGCATCACACTGGTTGTCTTTGTGTGCACTGTTCATCACTTTCTCTCCCTCCACCTTTCCCCCAACATCTCCCCAAAACAAGAAGCAATCTTGGCCAGAAAGATCTCTGATGATGCTTTAGCTGTGTCATTTCACACATGCCATTTCATCTGAAGAAAAGAAATGGAAGGGATTACATGAGACATATACTTAAATTTGACTATCTCATGTACATTAGATATTACACATGATTAATCAATGTAAGTTTATTTCACTCATTTAAACACATACATTGTTGTATGCATTATCTTGCAGTAATCAGATCAACTGTGTGAATATTCATTTTTCATGTTAGAAATATGACCTTTATTTTGTCATATTACTTTATGCTTATAATATCATATTAAGCTACCATTAACATCGAGAGGCAGAGAGACAGAGAGAGAGCTCTCTTTTGTGACTTCACTTCTTAAATGAAACACCAGTACCACTGCTATCTCCCAGTATCTACATTCGCAGGCAGCGAAAGTCATAAGTTCAAGATGGGTATTGGACACGTGAGGTGGGATATGGGTCTGTTTTTTTAAAAGATTTATTTATTTTTATTGGAAAGTCAGATATATACAGAGAGGAGGAGAAACAGAGAGGAAGCTCTTCTGTCTGATGATTCACTCTCCACGTTACTGCAATGGCCGGTGCTGCGCCAATCCTAAACCAAGAGCCAGGAACTTCCTGCGGGTCTCCAACGTGGGAGCAAGGTCCCAAAGCTTTGGGCCATCCTCAACTACTTTCCCAGGACACAAGCAGGGAGCTGGATGGGAAGTGAAACTGCCAGGAATAACCAGTGCTCATATGGGATTCTGGCACATTCAGTGCAAGGACTTTAGCCGCTAGGCCACATTGCCGGGCCTGGGATATGGGTTTCTTGAATAGCATTTTAAACACTAGAGCACACACATATTACTTGGATTTTTAAGATTTTCCATGCAGACAGTTAAACTCAGTCTCAGAAGAGTTAAGGAACATGCTTTAAGCTAATGTCCTCTGGAATAATCAATTTTAAAATTTGTTTTTATAATGTCATACAGATTCAATGTACTTTGATTATTTTTGTCATATATACATATGTGTTGATCACATATATAATCTGGCTATTTCTGTTTACCTTTTATTGACAGACTACAAAATTAATGAGACAAATCTTGAATAGATCTTTCATGCAGTAAAAGTGCTGTGTGTCATTGATACCTGCTAAACATGTAGTAATGGAGCAGACATTATGTTTGAGATCTTTAAGAATGAATTTGATTTCCTGCTGGAACACAACATGAATAAAGTGGTAATAGTGAATCATGATCAATTGTCCATGCTACTGATTCATCACAACTATTTTAAATTCCCCTTCCAAAGTGTTATGAACAAGGCTAACACCACCAGGACAAAATTCTGTGCACAGCATAAATTTTCTTCAGAGCGCCTTGAGTGGAAATCCACCTTAAGTAATTATATGATTACTCTCTTAGATTTTAAGCAGTATTTTGTAAAAGTAACTGCTTTTAGTGAAATAGTCAATGTCTCACTTAGAAACTACCTTTGATGATAAAAAAGTACTACAGAATTTCAGAATTCTATACATTCATTAACACAGAAAATTGTGCTGATTAACATACATATTGTGTGTATTGTGCACATTAACAGCAGAAGTTGACATATGTGCATATGTGTGTATGGACAAACTTTACTTGAAAGACATGATCCTATACTCCCCAATGTGTGTTACACAATCTCACAATGTGTTTACATGTTTTAAGCAGTCTGAGATTCATTCAGATGTCAAACAGTTAACACACCCTGAGGGACCGCCTAGCCTAGTGAGCAATGCAATCGGCAATGGAAGCCAAAGGATCATTATGTTTATTTCCAATGGTTTTGTTCTTATTTTTCTATATAAACTTGACAAGGTACTCAACTTCTTTGGGTTGTGCCTCATTCTTTATTGATATAGGAATAGTTAGAGTGTGTATCTGAATTTGTCTTTTAAAATGAGAAATTAACTATATTAACATTATAAAACACTTTACTCAATGTCTTATTTTATGATAGCAAGGGCTTAACACATTCCAGCAGCTATTAATGACTGAGTTTACAGGCTGACTGAGTCTACCACCTAGCTTTTGAGCAGTAGATTGTCAAACTATGCTTGAATTAGCGATTCTTTTCAAGTAATCCCCATTATCCAGTAACATGATTCATCATCTTTTGCATATATTACTTGCACACATCTTATTCTTAACTTATAATAGTTTCAGTGATAAACATTAAATGTTTACCTAAATATATTATTTTTAAAAGATTTATCTATTTTACTTTGAAAGGCTGATTACAGAGAGGATAGATCCTCCCTCCATTTACCAGTTCAATCCCTAAATGGCCGCTATGGTCAGAGTTGAGCTGATCCAAAATCAGAAGCCAAAAGAAACTTTCTCTACATGGCTTGTGTGGGTTCAGGGACCCATGGACTTAAACTGTCTTCCACTGCTTTCCAAGCCCATAAGCAGGGAGCAGGATACAAAGTGGAGCACCTGAGACTAGAACTAGTGTCGATATAGCATGCCGGCACTGCAGATGGAGGACTAACCTATTCAGCTATAATACAGGCCCCACCTAAACATGGTATTAAAGTCTTCACAGATAAACTGATGTATAGGTTTGTATTTCACATTTTAATAAATATTATTTATAGTGTTTTTGTTAATTATAGTAACATTTAAGAATTACTAATGAGCTATATGAAAGTCTTAAACAAACAAACAAAACAAAATCTGATAGCACTAGTGTGCCTGTATTTCTGAATGAATTTGAACCCTATCTCAGGTTTTAACACGTTGGCCTGAACGTAAATTTGAGATGCATGGGAGCCTCAAGAAACTTAATGACAAAAATCTAACAACATAAGAGAAAAAGTTTGAAGATGATATTGAAAAGAAGGATTAGAAGATAAGAATTACATTAACAGCTAGAGTAACAATAATGTAATGCACATTACATAACTGTGTAATTACCGTAAATGTGGAACCACTATGATTATGAACATTTAGTGGGGAATAGACTCTTAAAAGTAAAATGGCTTCCATTGAAACAGAAATATTTTTGTCTTTCTTTTTTGGTGGAAAATCAGAGAAATTGTTTCAAGTCATCAAGTCAAGCATCAAGCCATACCATGTTAAGCAACCTTCTACTGTGGTCTCTTCAGCTTAGTCTTCTAGGAACTGCTCTTGGTGGGAATGTTCTGATTTGGCCAATGGAAGGCAGTCACTGGCTAAATGTTAAGATAATCATAGATGAGTTAATTAGAAAGGAGCATAATGTGACTGTGCTAATGGCCTCTGGTGCACTTTTCATCACACCGACCATTAGCCCATCGCTGACCTTTGAAATATATAAAGTACCATTTGACAAAGAGAGAATAGAAGGAGTGATCAAGGATTTCGTTCTGACATGGCTGGAACACAGACCATCTCCTTCAACAATCTGGAGATTCTATCATGAAATGGCCAAAGTCATCAAGGAATTTCACATGGTGTCCAGAGAGATCTGTGATGGTGTCCTGAAAAACCAAAAGCTGATGGAAAAGATGAAGAAAAGCAAGTTTGAAGTCCTATTGTCAGATCCAGTCTTTCCTTGCGGTGACATAGTTGCTTTAAAGCTAGGAATTCCGTTCATATATTCCCTAAGATTCTCTCCAGCCTCAACAGTGGAAAAGCACTGTGGAAAAGTCCCATTTCCTCCCTCTTACGTTCCTGCTGTCTTATCAGAACTCACAGATCAAATGTCTTTCACTGACAGAGTGAGAAATTTCATCTCCTATCGTCTACAGGACTACATGTTTGAAGTACTTTGGAAATCATGGGATTCCTACTATAGTCAAGCTTTAGGTATGTATCAACTACTGCTTTAGTGTTTGGTTTTAAGAAAACCATCTTTGAGTCAATTCATCTTTAATTCCCTATGCCTATTCATCTTCAGTTCTACAGATTGTTGTATATTCTAGTGCTTTGACATCAGGGAAGATGTTAAAAACATACTTCCAGGCTGGGCAATTGGAATAGTGGTTAAGAAGCCTCTTGGGCCATTCACAACTGATGTTGGAGTGGCTGTGTTTGAATGCTAGCTCTGCTGTCAATTTGATCTCCTTGAAAGCAGTAGATATTTATTCATATGCTTGGGAATCTATCATCTATTTAGGTGACACGGATTTAGTCCCTGACTCCTGCTTTTGTCTGACTCAGCTGAATGTCTGTCAAGCAGGGGTGGATATTTGGGAAGTGAACCAGTAGATGCAAGATTTGTTCCCTTAAATCTTTCTTTGCCTTTCAAATGAATAAAAAAGAATAAAGTTAGGCTTCAAAACCATAACATGCCATTTTCTAAATACAAGTATATGATTTGAAGATACTAAGTATTTTTTAAGTATTTTTATGGGTAAATGTAGTAACAGGTATTTAAATTTTAGAATCAGACAATCTATTTTAGTTATTACAATGAAAATAGAAATTACATTGAAACTGTGGTAGTGTGTGGAAAAGGCTTGAAAAGATTAAATTATCTTCACAACTCTATAATTTATATAAACATTTGTATACATTTGTATACATCTATATACATGTAAACATATGTATGCTTGTGTATGTATGTATATCTACATATGTGTGCACGTATATATGTGTATATATACTGATAATATGTGTAGATACATGTATACATATGTGTATACATATACTGATGGTCTCTGATCATTAGTTAATACAGATCAATGCTAAAATATAAATTAAAAATTATATTATTGATCTTTATTTGGGGGGTATAATTTAAGAGAAAACACACCATGAATCAGGATGATTTAATCATGTTAAGTTCTTTGAATTCCTTAAGTGTGATATAGTGCTAACGTAATGAAGACTATGTAACCAATGGGTATTATCATCTATATATTTTTATTGATAAATTTATAAGCTTATTGGTTGGAAAATCACATGTACTTTGTCTATTTGCATTCCTCTTAATTTTATTATTTATTATTCACAAGTGAAAGTTTTCTGTCATTTACTAGACACTGTCTTAAATAGAAGGGTTATATTAAGAACTAATTTGAAATCCTAGGCTTCAAAGATTTCACTCTCAGACAGGAAAACCATATTTGGAAAGGCATATTTACAAGGTGCATGATGGGGGTTTTGTATGTACAAATTGTGAATATAATGCAGAGAAGATAGATGCCTTGCGACAGAGAGAGAGAGGAAATTATACTGAAAATCTTTAGAATTGAGATAGTGCATAAGAAAACTTTTAAACAGTGAGTAGAAATGTTCCTGCAAAGTTATTTTGCAGAAAGAAATTAGATGCTCAAATATGGAGAACTAAAGTAGCACAATTCTACCAGGTATTTTCTAGAGATTTAGTGTTTTTGAAGGTGAAGGTACAAGGTAGGAAAATGTGGGAGAAATAGGGGTGATGCCAGGATTGTTAACATGCCAGCATGTGAGAGAACCAGACCTGAGAATAAGACAAGTAGGGGTTCTTTAGGGTTGTCCTGTGTAGGTCTTTGGACCTGCCAATGAATGTGAGAGCTGGGCCTAGGGATGGGCTGGACTACACTAGGCCCAACAGTTTTCATGAGAGCCAGGGCTCAGGGTAGGACTGAGCAGCAACTGCACCCAGTGGGACATATATTGGTTTCTACAGGGGTAGAATGAGTTTGACTTTGTACCGGTTGGCACACAAGAGCAAGGTCTGGTATGTCCCTGGTGAGGTTTCCTAGAGGGTTCCCCATCTAGACCACTGTGCTCAATCCCTGACCTCAGAGAAAAATCACATAGACATGTGGTTCAATCCTGGAGCATATGTTGCAGGAGTGGGCCACCTCAGTTGCTGACTCTTGTGTAAGAATGGAGAGCATACCCAGAACATGAAAGCCAAGACAGCCAGTTCATTTAAGCCAACAGAAAACTTTGAATACCTCATCAAAAATGGAAAGAATATCAGGTTGAACAATACCCCAGGCCACGCTATACAATAAGAACCTAAGTCTGTAAACACGCTGAGGTAGACAAGGAAAACCAATCGGCCTTGGAAGGAATTTCACACCTCTGGTGCATCAGTAAGCCAACAACCTCTCAGAACACTCAACTAACCCCGTTGGAACATTCTTCCTGGCACTGATGTAATGTGACATCAAGGAGCAGTGCAATGGCTCCATGCTCCTCCTCTATCACCCTACAGACACAAGATGGAAAGCCAAAACATTTATCCCACCGCCTCCCCAGACACTATCCTGACCAGAACCAGAGGTCTACATGTGTCTGTAGCCCTGTCCTCTTTGTGATAAAGATTAAAATAAAAAGAAGTGACAGATCCTGTTTCTAAATCTCTTCGCATAACTCTGATTTGTTCCAGGACTTTTATATAGATTGTCTCCCTGTTTTCTCTCTTTCCTCTTATTCATTTGCAGTTCTTTTCTAACCATTATTTTAAATTTTTAGTTTTCTATAACTTTCCCTAAAAATATTGTTGATTCTATACTTAAACATTTTATCTTAATAGCCTTAAATAATAAAGTATTATGTAAACTAAAATTTTTGGAAAAGAGTGAATTAACTAATTAAATTAATCTTTACAAATTTTCTTTTTTGGCATGATAACTAGTTCAATTGCTATCTAGTATGCTATCAGTTGCTATTTAAAGGGATGTATTGAGACTAGATTTTCATTTTATATAAAACACTAAGAGTGCTGTGAATATCAAGTAGAGGGAGATAATCCTAAGCTACTGCATTACTTCAAGAATAACAAAGCAAGAATATGTAATACGAAGGGAGCTTACAACTAGAGGAAAATTAAACAACATGAGAGTACAGATTTGCACAAGTGGTAGTGATGGACAAAGTCGGTTTGCTAGTGTGTGGCCATGGAAAAAAGGCAGCTTCATTTCACCTGCACTTCATTTATCACCTCTCCTCTAATAAGGTACTATAAGAGCTGTATTTACCAACCAACATAAGAAAAGATTTTGTATTCATGTCTGAGAAATATAACAATTCAATTGGTGCTAGCTGTTCATTGAGTGTAACCAAGTAAAGCTGATGATTCACTGATGGTGACTGTAAAAGAGGGATAAATAGGGATTGGGAGGAATTATGGGAGTTAGAACATAATCCATTTGATTAGTATGTGGTGCTTTTAGGAAGTTTTAGTGAAGCCCTGTCAGCAGTTGAATTTTGGGACTGAGATCTGAAAGCAAATATCATAGCTTAGAGATTTAAGTGTCATTTGCGTAAAGAAGAATAGTTTGGATGTAGTATAGATGATAATCTCATGTAAAGGTTCCCTGGTTTCCTGTGACATGCTGGTTGTTAGCTGTATTTCTGCTTTTATCTGCGATATATTCCTGAAATCTTCAACAATCAAATGATTTAACCTCAAAGGATGTACTTAGATTTTGTAAGTTTCACAACCCATAGTTTAAAACTGATTGTTCCTAGAACAGAGTCTCGGGTGCTATATTTTCAATATTTTATTTTGATTTCATGACAAATATCTTGAATATAAGCGTGTTGAATACCAAATAGAGGTGGATCATTTCTCACTTTTGATGACTGCATTTCTCTGATTACTATCAAATGTTAAGATCTTCTTGTTAATAATAGCATCAAATTTATTTTTCTTGCTTTCATTTTTTTCTTAAAATAAAAAAGAACAACATTCGGAATAGTCAAAGAACTGGAAATACTGAACACATACAGCAGGTTGCAAAGCTGTCAGGTGGGCAGAGCTTCTAAGGTCTCCATGTGCTGACTGGCTAATGGCATTAAAATTTCTTTGAAGGATAACAATGTATAAACTATTTTTAAAACAATGGGTTGCACTAGTGTTAGAAACCAAAAAGTTGAGCGCCTGTGTGGTAATAGCTATTGTAGTTTCTTTTTGCAAATATCTGCTCTAAAATAAGTATAAAATTTACCTAAAACCAAAGAAATATGGGTAAGTAAGGGCATATATGGTCATGCAATAATGGTAGATGAGATTGACCAAAAGCTGGTGAGCAGTTATAGTAAAAAATCATTTAAAGCAACCAAAGCCATCACATAGTCTCTGGGAGTATTAACTAGATAATTCAGATTCCAAAAATCATGTTTACATTATAAAATGGTAAGGTAGACATACAAATTCCACCATTCAGCAACAACAAAGACATCTATAATGACTGCACATGAACCTGTAGATATGGTAGGAAGGGAGAAGTGAAGGAGCAACATCATTGGTTTATAACTGGATCTCAGTAGTAAAAATGATGTGAAGCAGAGACTTGACAGTGTAATTCACTGAAGCCATCAGCAGAGCAAAAACTCTTCATGTTATCTTTCATGTTGAAAACTAACAAAGACCTTGGATGCTGTGAGGAAGGATTTGGGCTTCTTGCATCCCATATGGTAGATCCAAATGGGGTGGGTGACCTCGGAGTTCTCTGCCTCCAAAGGCACTCCAGGTCCCTGTGGTCTCCTTGGCAGTTGGAATGTTGTTCTTGGTGTCCGTACTGATAATCCTTGGTGAGGATCTGTGAGTCTTCAGTGTTGGGATACAAGCCTCCTCCTGTCTCCCTGCTCCACTTTGGGGTCCCCCCCGATCTGTACAGATGACCTCCTGTTAAGAGGTTGTCAGGATCGCTGGACCCAAGGTCATCAGACAAACAGCCAGGAGACCTGAGTGGTCGGCAGAAACAGAAGAACAGTAAACTTCCTTCCAGACTAGGGAGAGGAGCTTTCTCTGGTGCTTATTTAGTTCCAACTTTGGATCCCCACCCTCTCTTGCAATGACTATCAGGGTTACTCCGGAGCCCCCACCCCCCTAAAAAAGCAAACAACAAAAAAATTAGAATAG